ATTGTAATTATAAGTATGATTAAACATGATTATGCACATGCATAAATTATATCTAAGTAGGTCAGAAGATGTGTGGACAAAGGGGTGGGAAGGTGACTAACTGCTGGGTCACGGAGAAGGGTTTTTTTGCAATGTCATTAACAAAGCAAACTTTATAAGTAAAACATCAAGTCCTCACAGGAGCTGTGGTCATCATTAGAGTGTTTCTGTGTAGATCTTTTCCAGCTTTTTTTTTCCTTTTCTTTTTCCTTCCTTCCTTCCTTCCCTCCTTCCCTCCTTCTCTTTTTTTCTTCCTCTCTGTCTCTTTTTTTTTCGAGACAGAGTCTTGCTCTGTTGTCCAGGCTTGAATGCAGTGGCATGATCATCATTCACTGAAGCTTCAGCCTCCTAGACTCAGGTGATTCTCCTACCAAAGGCTCCTCAGTAGCTGTGTTCTAGCTTTTTCTAGGCATAGTTTTATCAAGGTGTGATTCAATTGTACAATGTTACCTTTTAAAAATCTTGCTGTGGATATTTAACATTAAGGCTTTGGGAAGTTGTACACTTCCTGGCAGCTTTGAATGCAAGCTTCATTGGTTGAGTAATAACCTATCCAGTGTATACGATGCCATAACCAATTAACTCAACTAGGAGACACAGGAGGAGCTTCCGGTTTTCCACTCCTATAGCTGGGATTAACATCTTTATGTGCAGGCTGGGCACAGTGGCTCACACCTGTAATCCCAACACTTTGGGGGGCCAAGGCAGGCAGATCACCTGAGGTCAGGAGATTGAGACCATTCTGCCCAACATGGTGAAACCCCGTCTCTACTAAAAATACAAAAATTAGCTGGGCGTGGTGGTGCGGGCCTGTAGTCCCAACTACTTGAGAGGCTGAGGCAGGAGAATTGCTTGAACTCAGGAGGCGGAGGTTGCAGTGAGCAGAGATTTTGCCACTGCACTCCAGACTGGGTGACAAAGCAAGACTGTCTCAAAAAAAAAAAAAGAAAAAAACAGTTTGAAAGAGAAATTGGGTGAGGGAATGCTGACCTTTCATTCAGTGACTCTGTAGCCCCTTTGGGCTTCTCTTTACCCAAGTTAGTTCAAGTTTAGTGTATTTTTCCTACACCTGGCCCCTAACACAAGCTTTATCTGATCTGATACATGGGTTTAGAAACAGTGATCTGTTCCTCCCTAGAAAACAATGAGCTGGCCTGTCAGTTCCCAACTTGGCACCTCCCTAATGAATTTCAGAGATATGTAACTCTCATTGTCACTTCACATGCTACTCTTAGAGCTCACCCTGCATGTGAGATTTAGTGAGTTCTCACTAAATGCTTGATGACTGCTGGACATCAGCAGATACCCACTGAACCTCATACATGCCCTGCACCTTGCTTGGGACTGGAGATAATAAGCCAAGCAGTTGAGATCCAGCACTGGCCTCATCCCTCCTTTTTTTTTTTGTTTTTTGAGACACAGTCTCACTCTGTCACCCAGGCTGGAGTGTAGTGGCACGATCTTGACTCACTGCAATCTCTGCCTCCCAGGTTCAAGTGATTCTCCTGTCTCAGCCTCCCGAGTAGCTGGGATTACAGGCATGAGCCACCACACCTGGTCTTTTTTTTTTTTTTTTAAAGACACAGAATCTCAGTCTGTCATCCATGCTGGAGTGCAGTGACTTGATTACAGTTCAGTGCAGCCTCAAACTCCTGTGCTCAAGTGATCCTCCCATTACAGCCTCCCACGTAGCTGGGATCACAGGTGCTGCCACCATGATGGGCCTAGGATTCCATCCCTTAAGGAGCTACATCCCATCCACTGCATGTGTGTTGTGGAGGCAAGGTGTGTGTTGGGGAGAGCAGTACATAGCCTGAATTACACAGGATTACAGATTGTGACAAACTGCGACAAACTCTATAGGAGATGCACGGAAGTAGGTGGTCAGGAAAGTTCCCTCTGGGGAGCTGACACTTATGTGAAAACCTAGAGAATGAGAAGGCAGCCATGAAATAAGGCAAGGATAGCTGGCTTTGGGTGACTGGGTGGATGATGGTACTGCTAGCAGAGTGGGGAGTGGGAGAAGAGGGAGGATTGAAAATTTTGCTTTGACCAGACATGTTATTTTTATTTATTTATTTTTTAGGCAGAGTCAATCGTCACCCAGGCTGGGGTGCAGCAGCCTGATCTTGGCTCACTGCAGCCTCTGCCTCCCCAGTTCAAGCTAGTCTGTCTCAGCCTCCCGGGTAGCTGGAATTACAGGTATGTGCCACCACACCTGGTTTTTTTTTTTTTTGTATTTTTGTATTTTTCTTTTTCTTTTTTTTCTTTTAAAGATGGGGTTGTCACCACGTTGGCCAGGCTGGTCTTGAAGTCCTGACCTCAGGTGATCCACCCACCTCAGCTTCCCAAAGTGCTAGGATTACAAGCGTGAGCCACCGCGCCTGCCTCTTTAAATTTTTCTTACACATCAATAGAAGATTCCTTGTGAATTTTTTTTTTTTTTTTTTTGAGACGGAGTTTCACTCATGTTACCCAGGCTGGAGTGCAATGGCGCGATCTCGGCTCACCGCAACCTCCGCCTCCTGGGTTCAGGCAATTCTCCTGCCTCAGCCTCCTGAGTAGCTGGGATTACAGGCACGCACCACCATGCCCAGCTAATTTTTTGTATTTTTAGTAGAGACGGGGTTTCACCATGTTGACCAGGATGGTCTCGATCTCTTGACCTCGTGATCCACCCGCCTCGGCCTCCCAAAGTGCTGGGATTACAGGCTTGAGCCACCGCGCCCGGCTTTTTTTTTGTATTTTTTAGTAGAGATGGGGTTTCGCCATATTGGCCAGGCTGCTCTCAAACTCCTGAGACTCAAGCAATCTGCCTGCCTCAGCCTCCCAAAGTGCTAGGATTATAGGCGTGAGCCACCACGCCTAGCTAGAAATGTTAAATTTGAGATCAGTGGTTACCCAAGTGGAGATCAGGAGCCTGGAGTGCTGGCAACTCAGTATTGGGAGTCACGGGATACAAGCGGCATTTAAAATTAGGATCTTAGGGTCGGGCGCAGTGACTCAGGCCTGTAATCCTAGCACTTTGGGAGGCCGAGGCAGGTGGATCACGAGGTTAGGAGTTCCAGACCAACCTGACCAACATGGAGAAACCCCGTCTCTACTAAAAATACAAAAAATTAGCTGGGCATGGTGGCGCGTGCCTGTAATCCCAGCTACTCAGGAGGCTGAGGCAGAATTGCCTGAACCCGGGAGGCGGAGGTTGCGGTGAGCCGAGATCGCGCCATTGCACTCCAGCCTGGGTAACAAGAGCGAAACTCCGTCCCAAAAAAAAAAAAAAAAAAAGAGAATAAAGAAAAATTAGGAGAGGCCGGGCGTGGTGGCTCACGCCTGTAATCCCAGCACTTTGGGAGGCTGAGGCGGGCAGATCATGAGGTCAAGAGATGGAGATCATCCGGGCCAACATGGTGAAACCCCATCTCTACTAAAAATACAAAAATTAGCTGGGCGTGGTGGTGCGCGCCTGTAGTCCCAGCTACTAGGGAGGCTGAGGCAGGAGAATTGCTTGAACCCAGGAGGCGGAGATTGCAGTGAGCCAAGATTGTGCCACTGCACTCCAGCCTGGTGCCTGGCGACAAAGCAAGACTCTGTCTCAGAAAAAAAAAAAAAAAGAAAGAAAGAAACGAAAAAAAAGAAAAACTAGGAGCCTAGTGTAAAGCCAGTTGCCTCGCCGGGAGGACCCGCCGATCCCTCTCCACGCCTGAAAATTACGTCACCAGAATCTGCACTCAGCATCCAGCTTCGCCACGCCCACCTCTGCAAGCAACACTAAACTCTGCGCTCGCGCCGTTGGAAATCCCCTCTGCACTCAGCACCAGGATCTGCACTCCACACTAAACTCCGCACTCGGCACCTAGCCCGCCGTTGGAAAACCCCGCCAAAATTTAAAAGAAGCCCCGCCAAAACCTGCCCAATAGCGCATTGCCCCATGCGCCCGCTCACCGGAAATCCCGCCTACCTACCTATAGCCGCTTGCCACGTCAACGTCCCAATCAGAGCGCCTTCCCTCCCTATGTAACCCCAGGCCTGAGAGGAGTCTGGCGCGACGTCTGTGGCTCCCTCCTTTCCCTGGCCAGTAGAACATCGCCTGGCTCCTTGGCGTCTAATGGTTCTCATGCAGGCTTCAGTTTCCTCATTTTAAATTCGGCAATAAACCTTACAGAGAATAACCCTTACACCTAGGCCAGATCATGCCGGGCCTGAGTGTACATAGGGGCCCAAGGGAAGGGTCTAGCAGAAGACACAGAAGGGATCAGGCAGGGCTTTGGACTTCTAGGCTTGATAGCCACCTGCAGCCGGGCCTGCGAGGGGCCTGGACGCGGTGGGGACCCAATGTGCAGGGAGAGTGAGAAGTGAGCGCGTAGACACCGAGGGCGGACATAACTTTGAAGGTGTCTGCCGCGGAGGCTCATGGGACTTGAGGCTCCAGGAGGACTTTGGAAAAGACCTGAGCGCTGGCCGGGTGTGGAAGCTGAGGCCTGTAATCCCAGGACTTTTTGGGAGGCCAATACAGGAGGACTGCTTGAGCCCAGGAGCTCCAGACGAGTCTGTCTCTACAAAAAGTTAACACCTAAGCCGGGTGTGGCGGTGCGCGCCCATAGCTATTCGGGAGGCTGAGGTGGGAGAACCGCTTGAGCCTGGGAGGCTAACGCCGTAGTGAGCCGTGATTTCGCCACAGCACTCCAACCTGGGCGACGGAGCGAGATCCTGTCGCGAAAATTAATACACAAATAAGACCTGAGACCTCGACATGGGAATGGCCCTGAGCCGTAGCTGGGCAGGTAAAGGCGGCGGTCCAGAGAGAGACCCCTCGAGCAGACGGGGCTTCGAGGCTGAGGGAGCTCGGCCTTGAGAAGGCGCCAGCGGGCGAAGGCACACCCAGGGCCCCAGACTAGAAAGCCGACCCTTCCGAGCATGCGCACCTGGTGCTAGCGAACAACAGGGCCCGGCACGCCGGGATTCCGTTTCCGGTGCGGGCCGCGAAACCCGGAAGTGATCACCGAACTCTGCCACGGCTCCGTGGTCTGAGTTCTCAGCCGTTGCTTTTTCGTGCTGGTTAGTCACACCGCCGCCGCGCCGCCATGGGGAAGCGACAGCACCAGAAGGACAAGATGTAAGTTGAACCGCAGTCGGGAGCGGCGGCTCGTTCTGCCTCAGTGACCCGCCTGTCCCGCACTGCGCGCCAGTCGCCTTCCCTCTCAGCTAGTCCCCGGAGCCCAGCACAAAGGTTATTTCCTCCCGGAAGCCGTCGCCCTCTCTTCTGGCTGGGTATTGACCCTCGGGCGGCCGCGCTCTCCCGCGGCTCAGATGACGTCTGCTGCGGGCCTGAGCGCAGTCGGGTCTTCCTTTACCCTGCTCCTGCAGGGACCGCCCCCCACTGCTAGCGAGGTTTGCCCCTGAGTGAGTAGTCTCTCCCTCTTCCGTACATCCCGTCTCCCTGTGTTCTGGTTCATGCCCATCAGCCTGCACACGTGCTGCAGAGCCTTCCAGTTTAAAGCAAACCAGGCTGGGCGCGGTGGCTCACCTGCAATCCCAGTACTATGGGAGGCCAAGGCGAGCGGATCACCTGAGGTCAGGAGTTCAAGACCAGCCTGGCCAACATGGTGAAACTCCGTCTCTACTAAAAATACAAAAATTAGCCGGGCGTGGTGACCGGCACCTGTAATCTTAGCTGCTGGTAGGCTGAGGCAGGCGAATCGCTTGAATCCGGAAGGCAGAGATTGCAGTGAGCCGAGATCGAGCCACTGCTCTCCAGCCTGGACGACAGAGCGAGACTCCGCCTCAGAAATAAATAAAACAATACAATAATGCAATACAGTACAATCCACCTGTGCCCCTTGCTCCAGTTCCCCTCCCACTGCCGCCGTGTTTTCTTTGATTCTCTCGGAACAAGTGACAGACCGGTGGCTTCGTGCTGTTTTCTGAGTTTCTTGAAACCATTTCAGTCAGAGTTTCAACCCTAGAACTCCTTGTCAGGTTCCCAGCGACGACTTCTTGCTAAATCTAGTATTCAGTCCTCAGTCCTCATTTTGTTGGGCTTCTCAACAGTATGTCACACCGTTGACCACTCCCTCCTTCTGAAGCCCGTCTTTGGTATCTGGGATTTCACATGCTCTTGGTTTTCCAGCGGCCTTTCTTTTCCCAGTCTTCTTTCTGGACCCTCCTCCCTTCTCCCAGACCTCAGAGGTTTTTTTTCTATAAACATTCCCTGTGGGTAATATAATTTTCCAGTCATCTGTAAGCTGCTTTCCCCAGTCTTGTGTAGTTAGCGGCTTTCTTATTTTCTCCACTGGAGGACTAACAGATGTCTCAAATTTAATATGCCTTAAACAGAACTCCTGATTTTCTTTTTCTTTTTTTTTTTTTTTTTAAGATGGAGTTTCGTTCTTGTTACCCAGGCTGGAGTGCAATAGCGCGATCTCGGCTCACCGCAGCCTCCGCCTCCTGGGTTCAGGCAATTCTCCTGCCTCAGCCTCCTGAGTAGCTGGGATTACAGGCACGCGCCACCATGCCCAGCTAACTTTGTATTTTTAGTAGAGGCGAAGTTTCACCGTGTTGACCAGGATGATCTCGATCTCTTGACCTCGTGATCCACCTGCCTCGGCCTCCCAAAGTGCTGGGATTACGGGCGTGAGCCACCGTGCCCGGCCAGAACTCTTGATTTTCAGGAGCTCCTGAGCCTGTTCCTCTCTGTAAACTAAAAATCCTGTCTCCCCACTGGCTGAATAGACACCCTTGTGGTTAAGAGAACCCCAGGAAAACCTTAAAACTGAGTTTCTGGCCATGATGGGATGGAGGTCAGATGTACCTTGTCATATCCCCCTCCCTTTTGTGTCTTGGACACAGCTGACCAGGATTAATGTTGAAGTAGAGATCATAAGATTGACAAAACAGACTCTGTGGCAATAAGGTACCAAATTATAAACAGAACCCACAGTTGTGCCAGACAATCTCCCTGGTTAAGTCATCCACTCCTAAACTTTAAAAAATAAACTATTCTAACTGCCACAAGGTTTTTCTTTTTCTCTAGCAGCTAAGTAAGCACTGGCTTTCAGATAAGCAATATTAAAACAGTTGTAGTCCATTAGCAGACATGGACTAACTGAACCCCTGTTCTACCAGTCATAACTAAAGCTTTAGTCCGGGCTCAGTAGCTCATGCCTGTAATCCCAGCACTTGGGAGGCTGAGGCGGGAAGACCACCTGAGGTTGGGAGTTCGAGACCAGCCTGACCAACATGGAGAAACCTGTCTCTACTGAAAAATTAGCCGGAAGTGGTGGCACATGCCTGTAATCCCAGCTGCTCAGGAGGCTGAGGCAGGAGAATCGCTTGAACCTGGGAGGCAGAGTTTTCAGTGAGCCAAGATCGAGCCATTGCACTCCAGCCTGGTCAACAAGAATGAAAATCTGTTTCAAAAAAAAAAAAAAAGAAAGAAAAAAAGTAAATAAATAAATAACTGCAGCTGTGATTGGACAAGAGACTGATTTCTGTAACTTTCTCCTGATAAGACAACCGACCATGGACAGGCCCCGGCCAGTTTACAGAGGCTGCTCATTTGCATGCCCTCAGATTTTTAAAAGATCTTTTGATGATAAGGCCTACTTACAATACATTTAAATGTTAAGTCACCACCTTAAAGAGAACAGGAGTCATAGGTTACATGCATATTTATTTATTATGCGTATGTGAGGACTGTCTTTATGAATATTCAGAGATCCTTTAACCTGTTGAATATTTATGATTGACTTGATTAACTGACTTATTCAGCATAAGGCTCTTCCTGCTCCAGCCCCTCCTACTTCAAAGTGCCTGTCCCTGGGATTCAGTTGGAGGCCATGCTTCCAGCCTGCTGGATGGCCACTTTAGGCTGTAACCCATTATAAGAAATAAAGTCGGCCGGGCGCGGTGGCTCAAGCCTGTAATCCCAGCACTTTGGGAGGCCGAGGCGGGTGGATCACGAGGTCAAGAGATCAAGACCATCCTGGTCAACATGGTGAAACCCCGTCTCTACTAAAAATACAAAAAATTAGCCGGGCATGGTGGCGCATGCCTCTAGTCCCAGCTGCTCAGGAGACTGAGGCAGGAGAATTGCCTGAACCCAGGAGGTGGAGGTTGCGGTGAGCCGAGATCGCGCCATTGCACTCCAGCCTGGGTAACAAGAGCGAAACTCCGTCTCAAAAAAAAAAAAAAAAAAATAAAGTCTGCTTTCTAACTTTATAGATTATTTATTTATTTATTTTTGAGACAAGGTCTCACTGTGTTGCCCAGTCTGGAGTGCAGTGGCATGATCTTGGCTCACTGCAACCTCTGCCTCCCAGGTTCAGGCAGTTCTCCTGCCTCAGCTTCCTAAGTAGCTGGGATTACAGCCACCTGCCACCATGCCCAGCTAATTTTTGTAGTTTTCGTAGAGATGAGGTTTCACCATGTTGGTCAGGCTGGTCTCAAACTCCTGACCTCGTGATCCAACAGCCTCGGCCTCCCAAAGTGCTGGGATTACAGGCATGAGCCACCGCGCTGAGCCTTTATTTTTTATTTTTTTGAGACAGAGCCTTGCTCAGTCGCCCAGGCTGGAGTGCAGTGGCACAATCTTGGCTCACTGTAATCTCTGCTTCCTGGGTTCAGGCAATTATCCTGCCTCAGTCTCCCGAGTAGCTAGGACTCGAGGCACTTGCCACCATGACCAGCTAATTTTTTGTATTTTTGATAGAGATGGGGTTTCACCATGTTAGCCAGGATAGTCTCGATCTCCTGACCTCATGATCTGTCTGCCTCGGCCTCCCAAAGTGCTGGGATTACAGGTGTGAGCCACAGTGCCCAGCCAGATTTTTTATTTTTTTAAAGTTAACATTCCCTATCCTTCATATTTCAGTGGTCATACCGTTACTCAGTTTGCCCAGGTCAAATCTCAGGGAGTTGGCCTTGGTGCCTCTTACCGCTTCCTGTCCATCAGGAGGTCCTCCTGGTTCTTTCTGGAGCTCACTGCCGCTCACATCGTCCAATGCTCCACTATAGGTGGTGTTTTTTTTTGTTCGTGTTTGAGACAGGGTCTCCTTCTGTACCCCAGGTTGGAGCACAGTGGTGCTCTCACAGCTCACTGCAGCCTCAACCTTCCTTCCTGCCTAAGCCTCTAGAGTACCTGGGACCACAGGTGCAAACTTTCACACTTAGCTAATTTTCAAATTTTTTGTAGAGACAGTTTCTTGCTTTGTTGCCCCAGCTGGTCTCCCAACTCCTGGACTCAAGCGATCTTCCTGCCTTGGCCTCCCAGAGTGCTGGAATTATAGGTGTGAGCCACTGTGCCTGGCCCCTATGTCTGTTGTGTTTATCACTGTGTGCCTGACACATAGTAGGTTTTTTTGGTTTTGTTTTTTGAAATAGAGTCTCTCTCTGTTGCCCAGGCTGGAGTGTAATGATACGATCTCGGCTTACTGCAATCTCCACCTCATGGGCTCCAGCAATTCTCCTGCTTCAGCCTCCTGAGTAGCTGGGATTACAGGTGCCCACCACCACCACAACTGGCTAATTTTTGTATTTTTAGTAGAGAAGGGGTTTTACCATGTTGGCCAGGCGGTCTCGAACTCCTGACTTCAAGTGATTCGCCTGCCTTGGGCTCCCAAAGTGCTGGAATTACAAGTGTGAGCCAACGTGCCTAACCCATAGTAGGTGTTAATAAGCATTTGCTAAATGAGGAAAGATTACTCACTTGCAGTGACTCTGTCCTCTTTATAAAGGTGGTGGTAGTAGCATTATCTTCCTCTCTTCTTCAGGTACATTACCTGTGCTGAATACACTCACTTTTATGGTGGCAAGAAGCCAGGTAAGACATGCAGTCTTTCTGTTCTTCCTTGGGGGAGTGGTATTAAGGAACAATGTCTTCAGGATACAGTGAGCTGTAAAAATAAACAAGAATATGGAAACTATGGTAGACAAATGGGCTGAGGATACCGTTCACAAAAGAGAGATATATTCAGGAAAGAAGAACATGCTTCATCTTAGTGCTGATTTTTGTAAAATGTAGATTAAAATATTCTTCAATGCTGGGAGCTAAGTTAAAAAAACACAAAAATTAGCTGGATGCGGTGACCCACGCGTGCCTGTAGTCCCAGCAACTTGGGAGGCTGAGGCAGGAGAATTGCTTGAACCTGGGAGGTGGAGGTTACAGTGAGCTGAGATCAGGCCACAGCACTCCAGCCTGGCACCTGGTGACAGAGCGAGACTCTATCTCAAAAAAAAAAAAAATTAAAAAAGAATTACATGTACATTTAAATGTTTTTTCTCTGTCAAGTTTATAAAGAATAAAAAGAATGATAATATTTTAAATTATCAAAACTATCAAGACCACAATAAAAAGAGCACTGTCATAATTTTAATGGCGTTAAAAAGTATGAACTTTTCCCTGTATTTTTTTATGTACCCCAAGTGTTTTGGTTTATATCCGTTAAAAGGTTTTTAATACACAGCAATCGCTGTACTCAAAAATTTGCACCGACTTCTTCATAAGTCATAACTGAATTGTTAGTAGGAGCACATAGATGAAATACTTCACAGAGTAAGATTTCTGCTTTTTATTTCGTTTTTAACAGATCTCCCACAAACAAATTTCCGTCGTTTACCTTTTGACCACTGCAGGTAAGAGTTTTGCGAGTTTACCCTTCCTTGTAATTGTTCTCTCATACTGTCTGATAGTGAATCTGCCCCCGATGATGTAGATGACATGCTATTGGTTACCCCACGTGGATCCTCCCTGAATGGGGAGAAGGAGAACCCACCCATGATGATGGCTAGTGGGCGTTTTCTGTTTATTGTGTGTGTATTTACATGCTGTATCTTTTTTTTTTTCTTTTCAGTCATCTTGACTACATCCTGTATCTTTTTAACCTCATTCTTACCTTTCAGGGTGTGTAGACTCTGTGTTAAGCCTGTTTTATGGTTGGAGAACCATTGTTTAGAAGAGCAAAGTACCTTGCCCAGGTGTGCCATGCAGGAAGTGGTGCCTCTGAGTCTTGAACTCAGTGGTCTGACTGTGGGTCCATGCCTTTAATGCTTTACTTTTTTTACTTTTACTTTTTTTTTTTTTGAGAGAGAGAGTCTCTTGCTCTGTTGCCTAGGCTGGCATGCAGTGGTGTGATCTTGGCTCACTGCAATCTCCACCTCCCGGGTTTAAGCAATTCCCATGCCTCAGCAACCTGAATAGCTGGGATTATAGGCATGTACCACCACACCTGGCTAATTCTTGTATTTTTAGTAGAGATGAGGGTTACACCATATTGGCCAGGCTGGTCTCAAACTCTGACCTCAGGTGATCACTCACCTCGGTCTCCCAAAGTGTTGGGACTACAGGTGTGAGCCACCATGCCTGGCCAGTGCTTTGCTTTTGCTCCAGGTTCTCTGCAGTCATAGCAGCAGCACACTAGTGATGAGACCGTGAGGTTCTTTTCTTTTGAGATGGAGTCTCGCTCTATTACCAGGCTGGAGTGCAGTGGCGTGATCTTGGCTTACTGCAACCTCTGCCTCCCAGGTTCAAGTAATTCTCCTGCCTCAGACTCCTGAGTAGCTGGGACTACAGGTGTGCGCCACCATGCCCAGCTAATTTTTATATTTTTAGTAGAGACGGGGTTTCACCGTGTTGGCCCAGATGGTCTTGAGCTCTTGACCTCGTGATCCTCTTGCCTTGGCCTCCTAAAGTGCTGGCATTACAGGTGTGAGCCACTGTACCCCGCCTAGGCCTTTTCCCCCTCACCTGTGATCTAGGGTCACTGGTAGGGCTGGGTAGGGACCCAGGCACAGAGCTACTCAGATGCTGCTTTGGCCCAAATTGGTATACATATGAACAGAAGGGGGCCTGTTGGAGAAGTGGGCCTAGCCCTGGTGACCCCAAGGATGTTGCTCCTCTCAGGGCGAGGGAGACTGTGGGAATGGACAGATCTGGCGGACCCCTTAGGCCTGAGTCTTCCCAAACCTGAGCCGTGGTCACATCTGTCCCGGACACCCATATGTCTACATAGCATCCTCCTTTATGCCTCGAGTTCTGCTTCTGTAGGTCAGGGTGAGCCTTGAGAGTTGACAAGTTCTCCTGGGGATCTGGCACCCCAGTTGAGGCAGGTCAGCCAGACACCATTGCAGCAAGAAAGGGGCCACGGGGACCATATACCATATAGCAAGGCCTGGGGGGACCCCCAGGAGGCTCCCACACATTGGCTGATGGGTTTTTTTTCCACTCATCAGTGGACAAATAAGGCCCAGGTATCACTGGCTAGGATTTCTGTCCCCAGCCCAGGTTTTGTCGTCAGCCTCATGGGAATGTGGTCTTACTCAGATTGGGTGTGAATTGATATGGCAAAAGTGCTCCCATCCTTGGTTCCAGTTCTTCCAGCAGGTGTCTGAGTTGCATCTTGCCCACTTTTTTTTTTTTTTTTTTTTTTTTTTTTGAGACGGAGTTTCACTCATGTTACCCAGGCTGGAGTGCAATGGCGCGATCTCGGCTCACCACAACCTCCGCCTCCTGGGTTAGGCAATTCTCCTGCCTCAGCCTCCTGAGTAGCTGGGATTACAGG